CTAGTCTATAGTCTAGTCTATAGTTTAGTCTAGTCTAGTCTATAGTCTAGTCTATAGTCTAGTCTATAGTCTAGTTTATAGTCTAGTCTATAGTCTTGTCTATAGTCTAGTCTATAGTCTAGTCTATAGTCTAGTCTATAGTCTAGTCTATAGTCTAGTCTATAGTCTAGTCTATTGTCTAGTCTATTGTCTAGTCTATAGTCTAGTCTATAGTCTAGTCTATAGTCTAGTCTATAGTCTAGTCTATAGTCTATAGTATATAGTCTAGTCTAATAGTCTAGTCTATAGTCTAGTCTATAGTCTAGTCTATAGTCTAGTCTATAGTCTAGTCTATAGTCTAGTCTATAGTCTAGTCTATAGTCTAGTCTATAGTCTAGTCTATAGTCTAGTCTATAGTCTAGTCTATAGTCTAGTCTATAGTCTAGTCTATAGTCTAGTCTATAGTCTAGTCTATAGTCTAGTATAGTCTAGTCTATAGTCTAGTCTATAGTCTAGTCTATAGTCTAGTCTATAGTCTAGTCTATAGTCTAGTCTATAGTCTAGTCTATAGTCTAGTCTATAGTCTAGTCTATAGTCTATAGTCTAGTCTATAGTCTAGTCTATAGTCTAGTCTATAGTCTAGTCTATAGTCTAGTCTATAGTCTAGTCTATAGTATAGTCTATGTATAGTCTATAGTCTAGTCTATAGTCTAGTCTATAGTCTAGTCTATAGTCTAGTCTATAGTCTAGTCTATAGTCTAGTCTATAGTCTAGTCTATAGTCTAGTCTATAGTCTAGTCTATAGTCTAGTCTATAGTATAGTCATAGTCTAGTCTATAGTCTAGTCTATTGTCTAGTCTATAGTCTAGTCTATAGTCTAGTCTAGTCTAGTCTATAGTCTAGTCTAGTCTATAGTCTAGTCTATAGTCTAGTCTATAGTCTAGTCTATAGTCTAGTCTATAGTCTAGTCTATAGTCTAGTCTATAGTCTAGTCTATAGTCTAGTCTATAGTCTAGTCTATAGTCTAGTCTATAGTCTAGTCTATAGTCTAGTCTATAGTCTAGTCTATAGTCTAGTCTATAGTCTAGTCTATAGTCTACTCTATAGTCTAGTCTATAGTCTTGTCTATAGTCTAGTCTATAGTCTAGTCTATAGTCTAGTCTATAGTCTAGTCTATAGTCTAGTCTATAGTCTAGTCTATAGTCTAGTCTATAGTCTAGTCTATAGTCTAGTCTATAGTCTAGTCTATAGTCTAGTCTATAGTCTAGTCTATAGTCTAGTCTATAGTCTAGTCTATAGTCTAGTCTATAGTCTAGTCTATAGTCTAGTCTATAGTCTAGTCTATAGTCTAGTCTATAGTCTAGTCTATAGTCTAGTCTATAGTCTAGTCTATAGTCTAGTCTATAGTATAGTCTATAGTCTAGTCTATAGTCTAGTCTATTGTCTAGTCTATAGTCTAGTCCATAGTCTAGTCTATAGTCTAGTCTATTGTCTAGTCTATAGTCTAGTCTATAGTCTAGTCTAGTCTATAGTCTAGTCTATAGTCTAGTCTATAGTCTAGTCTATAGTCTAGTCTATAGTCTAGTCTATAGTCTAGTCTATAGTCTAGTCTATAGTCTAGTCTATAGTCTAGTATATAGTCTAGTCTATAGTCTAGTCTATAGTCTAGTCTATAGTCTAGTCTATAGTCTAGTCTATAGTCTAGTCTATAGTCTAGTCTATAGTCTAGTCTATAGTCTAGTCTATAGTCTAGTCTATAGTCTAGTCTATAGTCTAGTCTAGTCTATAGTCTAGTCTAGTCTATAGTCTAGTCTAGTCTATAGTCTAGTCTATAGTCTAGTCTAGTCTATAGTCTAGTCTAGTAGTCTAGTCTAGTCTAGTCTAGTCTAGTCTAGTCTAGTCTAGTCTAGTCTAGTCTAGTCTATAGTCTAGTCTAGTCTATAGTCAGTCTATAGTCTAATCTATAGTCTAGTCTATAGTCTAGTCTATATTCTAGTCTATAGTCTAGTCTATAGTCTAGTCTATAGTCTAGTCTATAGTATAGTCTAGTCTATAGTCTAGTCTATAGTCTAGTCTATAGTCTAGTCTATAGTCTAGTCTATAGTCTAGTCTATAGTCTAGTCTATAGTCTAGTCTATAGTCTAGTCTATAGTCTAGTCTATAGTCTAGTCTATAGTCTAGTCTATAGTCTAGTCTATAGTCTAGTCCATAGTCCAGTCTACAATCTAGTCTGTACTCTAGTCTATGGTGTAGTCTAATTGATCTGGATTATAATATAGTCTTGTCGGAAGTAAAGTTCAGGCTATAGTGTAGGAAAAATTCTACACCTCCATGCATTCTCCTGAATAAAGACTCTTCTCCAGACTTACTTGTATATACAAATCTTCATTCCTTAAATGCTCCGCTATAAACTCTACCGCCTCGGTGGCCTTACTCGCCTCTGGCGACAATAAAATCGAATCAGAGGACTCACTCTCTCGACGTCCATGATCACCAATACCCAGCTCAGCACCACTATTAACTTTACGATTTATTTACAATTTGGATGATGTAAATCCGACAATTCCATAACTTCCATTTTCGATTTGTTTACCCCCGATGGCACTTATCTGCTTCGGCATCTCAGCTGGTGAACCATATGAAGTGGGATACGTTTGAGCACTAGTGCCAGGCATTTCCATCATCCAACGAAGACGTGTCTTGCGTGGACGTTTCATTAGCAAGATGGCAGGTAGATATTGTAGAAAAGCTCTACGTATCCAGTTGGGCATACGATGCGTGCGAGGACCTCGGAAATTCCAATTGATAATGACGACCGTTACCAAAATCGAAACGGTATTCATGATAAAGGTGAAGAGTAAGTATTTGGCTATGAGTGGCAGCACTAGGGAAGTGGGCGGTAGAATTTTCGATACAAGCAACAGGAACACAACCAGTGACAGTAAAATGCTAATACCCAAAGTCACCTAAAGAGAAAAATGGATAAAATGATTTCATCTAGAAATAAAGTTTAAGGACTATACCTTTTCTCCAGCTTCTGCGGGCAAATAAAATACCAAAACACAAAGGAATGAAATCAGCACAGTGGGCAAAATTAAATTCACCGTGTAGAAGAGAGTTTTCCTGCGTATAATGATGTAAAATGTAATATCGGTTTCCGTAGGATGATTACCATCACCCTCATAGACATTTAAGTAGGCGGGCACTTCTATTATATCCCAAGTACCCGATTTCCAATAATCCGATAAATCCACAAAATTCTTATTGTTATACAAAGCCAGCGACACCTGATCACCATTAAAGGTCCACGAACCAAATTTCATAATACAAGTCTGTTGATCGAAGGGAAAGTAGGTGACATCAATGGTGCAAGAACTTTGATAAATGGCCGGAGGTACCCAAAGAACCTCACCGGTAGGATAAATTAAAACGTTAGATTTATAACGCACTTCGTAGTTACCATCAGCACTAGGAGATGGATTCGGAGTTTGGTCATGAGGAAAGAAAATAATGTATATTAGTATTTTATTTATTTGATATTGGGGGAAAGGGTTTATTATTTATTACTTAAATAATCTTTATTGTTATAACAAATTGTTAATAAGATTGTTAATATCGTTAGACTTCAAAAGCTGTACATTTTCGTTGGTATTATATAAGTATATAAATGGACTATGATTATTTTTTAATTTTTTTGCATTATTTGGATATGATAGTGTTTAATGATTTCCTAAATGGTTCCTTATCTTAACAAGCCTTTTTTTTCGGAATGCTAAAAGCATTTTTCCTTTAGCCAGTGTTTGTTTTAAACACTCACCTGTTGAAAGCCTAAAGAAATTAAGGTTAAAGTTTTCGGAGTTCTTTTTAGGGACTTGGTTTTACAGGGGCAAACTACTGTTTTTTTGGGGGGGTTATATTACTTTTACTATTAAGCAGTTTCAGAGGATGTTTTTTTTTGATATGGATTGACTATTACAAGTTATTTTAATCTCCTTTGGAAAAATCCTTGCCTTTTGCCGATAGTTAACAAATTTCAAGGATTTTTTTAGGAGTTATGCTGCGTTGTTTTTATAAATTTTAATTTCGAACAAAACAAGAAATCAAGTCTGGTAATCCAAATTTTAAGTCGTAATTCTAGGGCTGCCATAATGATTACATTCCTGATAGATTAAGGAGGAAAGTATAAACAAAACCATATTTTTATAGGAATTTTAACAACATTTTCATATGTGTTGTCTATTGTCCATCATAAAACCATTGCCAAACAAGTATCATAAATATATCTTAAAACTAATACTTTCCTCCTTAATCTAGATCAGGAATGTAATCATTATGGCAGCCCTAGAAATTACGACTTAAAATTTGGATTATACCAGACTTGATTTTCTTGTTTTGTTCGAAATTAAAATTTATAAAAAAACGCAGCATAACTCCTAAAAAAATCCTTGAAATTTGTTAACTATCGGCAAAAGGCAAGGATTTTTCCAAAGGAGATTAAAATAACTTGTAATAGTCAATCCATATCAAAAAAAACATCCTCTGTAAACTGCTTAATAGTAAAAGTAATATAACCCCCCCAAAAAAACAGTAGTTTGCCCCTGTAAAACCAAGTCCCTAAAAAGAACTCCGAAAACTTTAACCTTAATTTCTTTAGGCTTTCAACAGGTGAGTGTTTAAAACAAACACTGGCTAAAGGAAAAATGCTTTTTAGCATTCCGAAAAAAAAGGCTTGTTAAGATAAGGAACCATTTAGGAAATCATTAAACACTATCATATCCAAATAATGCAAAAAAATTAAAAAATAATCATAGTCCATTTATATACTTATATAATACCAACGAAAATGTACAGCTTTTGAAGTCTAACGATATTAACAATCTTATTAACAATTTGTTATAACAATAAAGATTATTTAAGTAATAAATAATAAACCCTTTCCCCCAATATCAAATAAATAAAATACTAATATACATTATTTTCTTTCCTCATGACCAAACTCCGAATCCATCTCCTAGTGCTGATGGTAACTACGAAGTGCGTTATAAATCTAACGTTTTAATTTATCCTACCGGTGAGGTTCTTTGGGTACCTCCGGCCATTTATCAAAGTTCTTGCACCATTGATGTCACCTACTTTCCCTTCGATCAACAGACTTGTATTATGAAATTTGGTTCGTGGACCTTTAATGGTGATCAGGTGTCGCTGGCTTTGTATAACAATAAGAATTTTGTGGATTTATCGGATTATTGGAAATCGGGTACTTGGGATATAATAGAAGTGCCCGCCTACTTAAATGTCTATGAGGGTGATGGTAATCATCCTACGGAAACCGATATTACATTTTACATCATTATACGCAGGAAAACTCTCTTCTACACGGTGAATTTAATTTTGCCCACTGTGCTGATTTCATTCCTTTGTGTTTTGGTATTTTATTTGCCCGCAGAAGCTGGAGAAAAGGTATAGTCCTTAAACTTTATTTCTAGATGAAATCATTTTTATCCATTTTTCTCTTTAGGTGACTTTGGGTATTAGCATTTTACTGTCACTGGTTGTGTTCCTGTTGCTTGTATCGAAAATTCTACCGCCCACTTCCCTAGTGCTGCCACTCATAGCCAAATACTTACTCTTCACCTTTATCATGAATACCGTTTCGATTTTGGTAACGGTCGTCATTATCAATTGGAATTTCCGAGGTCCTCGCACGCATCGTATGCCCAACTGGATACGTAGAGCTTTTCTACAATATCTACCTGCCATCTTGCTAATGAAACGTCCACGCAAGACACGTCTTCGTTGGATGATGGAAATGCCTGGCACTAGTGCTCAAACGTATCCCACTTCATATGGTTCACCAGCTGAGATGCCGAAGCAGATAAGTGCCATCGGGGGTAAACAATCGAAAATGGAAGTTATGGAATTGTCGGATTTACATCATCCAAATTGTAAAATAAATCGTAAAGTTAATAGTGGTGCTGAGCTGGGTATTGGTGATCATGGACGTCGAGAGAGTGAGTCCTCTGATTCGATTTTATTGTCGCCAGAGGCGAGTAAGGCCACCGAGGCGGTAGAGTTTATAGCGGAGCATTTAAGGAATGAAGATTTGTATATACAAGTAGTCTGGAGAAGAGTCTTTATTCAGGAGAATGCATGGAGGTGTAGAATTTTTCCTACACTATAGCCTGAACTTTACTTCCGACAAGACTATATTATAATCCAGATCAATTAGACTACACCATAGACTAGAGTACAGACTAGATTGTAGACTGGACTATGGACTAGACTATAGACTAGACTATAGACTAGACTATAGACTAGACTATAGACTAGACTATAGACTAGACTATAGACTAGACTATAGACTAGACTATAGACTAGACTATAGACTAGACTATAGACTAGACTATAGACTAGACTATAGACTAGACTATAGACTAGACTATACTATAGACTAGACTATAGACTAGACTATAGACTAGACTATAGACTAGAATATAGACTAGACTATAGACTAGACTATAGATTAGACTATAGACTAGACTATAGACTAGACTAGACTATAGACTAGACTAGACTAGACTAGACTATAGACTAGACTAGACTAGACTAGACTATAGACTAGACTAGACTAGACTATAGACTAGACTAGACTATAGACTAGACTATAGACTAGACTAGACTATAGACTAGACTAGACTATAGACTAGACTAGACTATAGACTAGACTATAGACTAGACTATAGACTAGACTATAGACTAGACTATAGACTAGACTATAGACTAGACTATAGACTAGACTATAGACTAGACTATAGACTAGACTATAGACTAGACTATAGACTAGACTATATACTAGACTATAGACTAGACTATAGACTAGACTATAGACTAGACTATAGACTAGACTATAGACTAGACTATAGACTAGACTATAGACTAGACTATAGACTAGACTATAGACTAGACTAGACTATAGACTAGACTATAGACTAGACAATAGACTAGACTATAGACTAGACTATGGACTAGACTATAGACTAGACAATAGACTAGACTATAGACTAGACTATAGACTATACTATAGACTAGACTATAGACTAGACTATAGACTAGACTATAGACTAGACTATAGACTAGACTATAGACTAGACTATAGACTAGACTATAGACTAGACTATAGACTAGACTATAGACTAGACTATAGACTAGACTATAGACTAGACTATAGACTAGACTATAGACTAGACTATAGACTAGACTATAGACTAGACTATAGACTAGACTATAGACTAGACTATAGACTAGACTATAGACTAGACTATAGACTAGACTATAGACTAGACTATAGACTAGACTATAGACAAGACTATAGACTAGACTATAGAGTAGACTATAGACTAGACTATAGACTAGACTATAGACTAGACTATAGACTAGACTATAGACTAGACTATAGACTATACTATAGACTAGACTATAGACTAGACTATAGACTAGACTATAGACTAGACTATAGACTAGACTATAGACTACTATACTAGACTATAGACTAGACTATAGACTAGACTAGACTATAGACTAGACTAGACTAGACTATAGACTAGACTATAGACTAGACAATAGACTAGACTATAGACTAGACTATAGACTATACTATAGACTAGACTATAGACTAGACTATAGACTAGACTATAGACTAGACTATAGACTAGACTATAGACTAGACTATAGACTAGACTATAGACTAGACTATAGACTAGACTATAGACTAGACTATAGACTAGACTATAGACTAGACTATAGACTAGACTATAGACTAGACTATAGACTAGACTATAGACTAGACTATAGACTATACATAGACTAGACTATAGACTAGACTATAGACTAGACTATAGACTAGACTATAGACTAGACTATAGACTAGACTATAGACTAGACTATAGACTAGACTATAGACTAGACTATAGACTAGACTATAGACTAGACTATAGACTAGACTATAGACTAGACTATAGACTAGACTATAGACTAGACTATAGACTAGACTATAGACTAGACTATAGACTAGACTATAGACTAGACTATAGACTAGACTATAGACTAGACTATAGACTAGACTATAGACTAGACTATAGACTAGACTATAGACTAGACTATAGACTAGACTATAGACTAGACTATAGACTAGACTATAGACTAGACTATAGACTAGACTATAGACTAGACTATAGACTAGACTATAGACTAGACTATAGACTAGACTATAGACTAGACAATAGACTAGACAATAGACTAGACTATAGACTAGACTATAGACTAGACTATAGACTAGACTATAGACTAGACTATAGACTAGACTATAGACAAGACTATAGACTAGACTATAAACTAGACTATAGACTAGACTATAGACTAGACTATAGACTAGACTAGACTAGACTATAGAATAGACTATAGACTAACTATAGACTAGACTATAGACTAGACTATAGACTAGACTATAGACTAGACTATAGACTAGACTATAGACTAGACTATAGACTAGACTATAGACTAGACTATAGACTAGACTATAGACTAGACTATAGACTAGACTATAGACTAGACTATAGACTAGACTATAGACTAGACTATAGACTAGACTATAGACTAGACTATAGACTAGACTATAGACTAGACTATAGACTAGACTATAGACTAGACTATAGACTAGACTATAGACTAGACTATAGACTAGACTATAGACTAGACTATAGACTAGACTATAGACTAGACTATAGACTAGACTATAGACTAGACTATAGACTAGACTATAGACTAGACTATAGACTAGACTATAGACTAGACTATAGACTAGACTATAGACTAGACTATAGACTAGACTATAGACTAGACTATAGACTATAGACTATAGACTAGACTATAGACTAGACTATAGACTAGACTATAGACTAGACTATAGACTAGACTATAGACTAGACTATAGACTAGACTATAGACTAGACTATAGACTAGACTATAGACTAGACTATAGACTAGACTATAGACTAGACTATAGACTAGACTGTAGACTAGACTATAGACTAGACTATAGACTAGACTATAGACTAGACTATAGACTAGACTATAGACTAGACTATAGACTAGACTATAGACTAGACTATAGACTAGACTATAGACTAGACTAAGACTAGACTATAGACTAGACTATAGACTAGACTATAGACTAGACTATAGACTAGACTATAGACTACACTATAGACTAGACTATAGACTAGACTATAGACTAGACTATAGACTAGACTATAGACTACACTATAGACTAGACTATAGACTAGACTATAGACTAGACTATAGGCTAGACTATAGACTAGATTATAGACTAGGCTGTAGCTGTAGCCTAAACTGGGTACTAGACTAGAATATAGACTATATTGAGATATAATCCTGAGTATAAAGAACTATAATCTTGACTATTAAAACTATCTAATACTTGACTATGTTAGTCCTGATTATAGACCGAACTACATTATTATAGTGTCATTATTATTATATAGTGTTATTATTATTTTAAGTAGTAAACTTTAAACGTTTGCCTTTACAGACCCGAGAAGATTGGAAATATGTTGCCATGGTTATAGATCGTTTACAATTATATTTGTTCTTTATTGTTACCACTGCCGGTACCATTGGTATTTTAATGGATGCCCCACACATTTTCGAATACGTGGATCAAGATCGTATTATTGAAATTTATAGAGGAAAATAAATTGGATATTTTAAAGCAAAACCAACAAAAACCAAGGAAAATAAAAGATGAAAAAATGTTTTTATATTAAATTAAGTAACAAAAACTAAAACATTAAAGTTAAACATTGCAAATTGCAACATAATAATTAGAAAAAAAAAATAAAATATTTAAATAATTATAAAAAAACTAGTTGAAAAAAAAAAAACAAATAAAAACTATATCACCCAACAAATCATCACTTCCCCCCCAAAAAATCAAAATCAATAAGAGAAAATATAAAGAAAATGTTATATTTTTAATTGAAAAACAAAATAAGTAGTTTAAATAATAAAAAAACGTTTTGAATTTAATATAAAACATAAAACAGCTACAGAATACATATAACAATAAAACAATAATTGTTTTAGAAAACCCTAATTAATATTAAATTACTTTTTTACTAGTAACAAATTTTTATAAGACAAAAAAACAAAAATGCAAAAAAAATCATTTAGAAATAAATCAATTTTTTGCAGTTTAAAAACCATATTGAAGGCAATTAATCACTTCATTATAGATCATGATTCTTTTTTAATTAAAATTATTTTTTTTCAGAGTTTCTCATCGAACAATTGTTATTAATTTTTAGTTTTTTTGTTTTGGTTTTAAAATTATAATTAAGAAATTCCCTTTTTAGATTTAAGAGCTTATTAGCACAAAACGAACAAAATTTAACTCAAATTGCTCAAAATTTTCAAAAATGACTAGAAACGAACGAAAGCGCATAATAAGTAGAAAGATAATTCAAATTGTAATTGAAAATTTGTAAAAGAGAAAAACGAAATTCAAGTGAAAATAAAATAAAAGCAAATGAATTGAAAATAAAATTGAAGACATGGAAATGGTTTTATTTAAAATGTCATCAGAAAGAATCACCAAATATATATGATCAAACCTAAAGTTTTAAATTTTATGTTAAATATTTAAAATTTAATATTCATTCTTCTAAACCTAACTGACCCTGCCCACTACGTTAAATGTTAAACTTTGTTTATCAAAATGTAAATCTTCAAATTCCAGCTGCTGTCATAAAGATACAACGTGCGTTTGATTTTAATTAGATAAACAAAAACATAATACAAAGTATTATTAATATTACAACAACATAAAATAACAACAAGGTAAATCTTTATGTTTTTTTTTTAGTTTAAAAATTAAAATTCATAAAGATTTCTCTAAAGATTTGAAAAATTTTTGCAAAAAATAAAACTTCACCTACAAGTTACTTTGAAAATATATTTTAAGTTTAAGCTAACGCAATGTTACATGTTAACAATATTAATATGTTTAACATTTCTTTAAAGCAACAATTAACAATTTAATAATATTCTAATTGGTTAAATAATATGTTCAAATTTGGGTGAATACAAGAAAACAAAAGACTTAAGCAACAAACATTTTGGTACGAGATGTGTAGTCACAACTTAACGCACATAGTGGTATCCCTAGACTAAAAATAAAACTATAGTCACGACTGAAGTCTAGACTAGTGTCCAAAATATAGACTACAATATAGTCCAGACTAGACTATAGTCCAAACTATAGACCACAATAACTCTGACAACACCAGACCTTTGTCCAAACTATATACCAGACTATAATCTAGACTCTACAGATTATAGGGACTATAGTTCAGACTATAGTTCAGACTGTAGTCCATACTATAGTGCAAACTATAGTCCAGACTATAATCCAGACTGTAGCCCAGCCTATAGTACAGACTATAGAATATACTAAAGTCCAGACTGTAGACTACACTATAGTCTAGACTATAGACTATACTATAGTCTTATACTATAGACCATGCTATAGTCTACACTATAGACTATAGAATATACTATAGTCCAGACTATAGACTATACTATAGTCCAGACTATAGAATATACTATAGTCCAGACTATAGAATATACTATAGTCCAGACTATATAGTATACTATAGTCCAGACAATAGAGTATACTATAATCCAGACTATAGAGTATACTATATTCCAGACTATAGAGTATACTATATACCAGACTATAGACTATACTATAGTCCAGACTATAGACTATACTATAGTCCAGACTATAGACTAGACAATAGACTATACTATAGTCCAGACTATAGACTATACTATAGCCCAGACTATAGACTATACTATAGACCAGACTATAGAGTATACTATAGTCCAGACTATTGACTTTACTAGTCCAGACTATAGACTAGACAATAGACTATAGACTATACTATAGTCCAGACTATAGACTATACTATAGCCCAGACTATAGACTATACTATAGCCCAGACTATAGACTATACTATAGACCAGACTATAGAGTATACTATAGTCCAGACTATTGACTTTACTATAGTCCAGACTATAGACTATACTATGGTCCAGACTATAGACTATACTATAGTCCAGACTATAGACTATACTATAGTCCAGACTATAGACTATACTATAGTCCAGACTATAGACTATACTATAGTCCAGACTATAGACTATACTATTAGTCCAGACTATAGTCTGGACTATAGACCATACTATAGTCCAGACTATAGACTATACTATAGTCCAGACTACAGTCTGGACTATAGACTATACTATAGTCCAGACTATAGACTATACTATAGTAAAGACTATAGACTATACTATAGTCCAGACTATAGACTATACTATAGTCCAGACTATAGACTATACTATAGTCCAGACTATAGACTATACTATAGTCCAGACTATAGACTATACTATAGTCCAGACTATAGACTATACTATAGTCCAGAACTATAGACTATACTATAGTCCAGACTATAGACTATTACTATAGTCCAGACTATAGACTATACAATAGTCCAGACTATAGTCTAGACTATAGGCTAGACTATAGTCTAGACTATAGACATACTATAGTCTAGACTATAGACTATAACTATAGTCTAGACTATAGACTATACTATAGTCTAGACTATAGACTATACTATAGTCTAGACTATAGACTATACTATAGTCTAGACTATAGACTATACTATAGTCTAGACTATAGACTATACTATAGTCTAGACTATAGACTATACTATAGTCTAGACTATAGACTATACTATAGTCCTAGACTAATAGCTATACTATAGTCCTAGACTATAGACTATAACTATAGTCTAGACTATAGACTATACTATAGTCTAGACTATAGACTATTACTATAGTCTAGACTATAGACTATACTATAGTCTAATCTAGAGGACCTAGTCTAGACTATAGACTATACTATAGTCTAGACTATAGACTATACTATAGTCTAGACTATAGACTATACTATAGTCTAGACTATAGACTATACTATAGTCTAGACTATAGACTATACTATAGTCTAGACTATAGACTATACTATAGTCTAGACTATAGACTATACTATAGTCTAGACTATAGACTATACTATAGTCTAGACTATAGACTATACTATAGTCTAGACTATAGACTATACTATAGTTAGACTATAGACTATACTATAGTCTAGACTATAGACTATACTATAGTCTAGACTATAGACTATACTATAGTCTAGACTATAGACTATACTATAGTCTAGACTATAGACTATACTAGTCTAGACTATAGACTATACTATAGTCTAGACTATAGACTATACTATAGTCTAGACTATAGACTATACTATAGTCTAGACTATAGACTATACTGTAGTCTAGACTATAGACTATACTGTAGTCTAGACTATAGACTATACTGTAGTCTAGACTATAGACTATACTGTAGTCTAGACTATAGACTATACTATAGTCTAGACTATTGATTATACTATAGTCTAGACTATAGACTATACTATAGTCTAGACTATAGACTATACTATAGTCTAGACTATAGACTATACTATAGTCTAGACTATAGACTATACTATAGTCTAGACTATAGACTATACTATAGTCTAGACTATAGACTATACTATAGTCTAGACTATAGACTATACTATAGTCTAGACTATAGACTATACTATAGTCTAGACTATAGACTATACTATAGTCTAGACTATAGACTATACTATAGTCCAGACTATAGACTATACTATAGTCTAGACTATAGACTATACTATAGTCTAGACTATAGACTATACTATAGTCTAGACTATAGACTATTCTATAGTCTAGACTATAGACTATACTATAGTCTAGACTATAGACTATACTATAGTCCAGACTATACACTATACTATAGTCCAGACTATAGACTACACTATAGTCCAGACTATAGACTATACTATAGTCCAGACTATAGACTATACTATAGTCCAGACTATACACTATACTATAGTCCAGACTATACACTATACTATAGTCCAGACTATACACTGTACTATAGTCCAGACTATACACTATACTATAGTCCAGAATATAGACTGTGCTATAGTCCAGACTATAGACTAGACTGTGGTCCAAACTGTAGACTAGACTACTGTCCAGACTTATCTACATACCAAAGTATAATCCAAACTATAAACTTGACTATAGTCTATTTAGACGATAGTTTAGACTTTTTTCTAGACTATAAACCTGACTATAGTCCAGACTATAGATTAGACTTAAGTCCAGACTAAAAAATTTTACTATACTACAGATTAGACTGTAGTCCAGACTACAAATTAGATTATAATCCAGACTATAGAGGATAGACTAAATGTAGTAGACAATTACCGAGACAATAATCTCGTCTTCATACGTGGCTGTAGTCCAAAATTTAAACTAAACTATAGGTCGGAGTGTTGACCATACTATGGTCAAATCTGTAGTCTTTGCTATAGTACAGCGAAATAACAATACAAGCTATTTAGAGTAAATACTAAAGTAAAGTCCAATTTAGGACCTAAATTAGGTAGTAGTCCCACTGTGCACCTTAAGCTATAAATTAAATATTCTTCATACCTAATTTACAGGCTACTAAAATTATTAATTGTTAACTATTTGACAAGTATAATTTTTGTTTAGCAGCTAAATTAGCAAATAAATTACACAACATTTTACTTAAGCAGCAGCATCTTCAACATCTTTCAGCTGATTTGTTAATGACCATTGATTGCAAATGTCTTAAGCAAAATCTGCATATTAACACCACTTATG